CCCGCCCAGGCAACTTGGCGAGACCTCATCTCTACAATAAATCAAAAATTAGCCGGACGTAGTAGCACGCTCCTGTAGATCCAGCTGCTTGGAAGGCTGAGGCAGAAGGATCGCTGGAGTCCAGCAGGTCGAGGCTGCGGTGGCAGGGAGCCTGCCACTGCACTCCAGTCTGGGCGACAAAGTGAGACTCCAACTCAAAAAAAAAAAAGAGAGAGAGTTGTTAGAGTTGTTTCACATAAGAGGAAATACTCCAAGCATATTTGAGGGACGGATACTTAGGGAGTAGAGGTGATGGGAGTGAGGTTGGAGAACAAAGGTGGAAAAATAAATGTATAAATACAACTCTCAGGCTGGGTGCCGTGGCTCATGCCTGTAATCCCAGCACTTTGGGAGGCTGAAGCACGAGGATTGCCTGAGCTCAGGAGTTTGAGACCAGCCTGGACAACATAGCAAGACTTCCTCTCTACAAAAGGAAAATCAAAAAAATTAGCTGGGTGTGATGGCACATGCCTGTAGTCCCAGCTACTCAGGAGGCTGAGAGGGGAGGATCAACTGAGCCAAGGAAGCTGAAGTTGCAGGGAGCTGGGATCATGCTACTGCACTCCAGTCTGGGCAACAGAGTGAGACTCTGACTCAGAAAATAAGTAAATAGCTGGGGGTGGTGGTTCACGCCTGTAATCCCGGCACTTTGAGAGGCGGAGGCAAAAGGATTGCCTGAGCCCGCGGGTTCGAGACCCGCCTGGGCAACTTGGTGAGACCTCGACTCTACAATAAATCAAAAAAGTTAGCCAGGTGTGGTGACACTCACCTGTGGTTCCAGCTACTTGGAAGGCTAAGGCAGAAGGATCGCCTGATCCCAGCAGGTTGAGGCTGTGGTGGCCATGAGTGTGCCACTACACTCCTGTCTGGGTGACAGTGAGACTCAACTAAAAAAAAAAAACACAACAATTTCTTGAACCAGTGAAGGAGTATTTGCGTGCCACTGACCAGCTGACATGCAGATGCTTGATTACCATTCATGACTCATTCTCAAAGTCATTCGTTCTAATGTTGCCGTGTTCTGTTCCATTTCATACTTTAGAGCCAATACATTTGTTTTTCTTGGGTTGACAAACACACCTGCAGGGCCTCTGAGAGCAAAGAGCCCTGATCACACCAAGAAAGAGATTCCCAGAGAGTCCACAACTGTTCACACTCTGGGCGTGGAAGCTGCACACTTGGATCAGCCTGAGAGGGCTGCCATCCCCACCGCAGAAGACACGCCCCCCAGAGGGCGGGGCAGGGATGGGGGCTCCAAGGGATGCCTGGCCCAGCCTAGCGGGCATGGAGGGCTTCTTGGAGGAAGGGACATTTTGGACCTGAAACCTGAAAGACCATTCCGAGCTAGCCAAAGAGAACTGAGGATGAGTATGATGAGCTACACGGTTTTTTTTTCTTCCATGAATGTTTTTTGTACAAACGTGAATGAAAAACTGAACAGCCACCTTGGAAAGCAGTTTAGTGGTTCCTTTAAAAGCTAAATAGGGCTGGGCTCAGTGGCTCAGCCTGTAATCCCAGCACTTTGGGAGGCCGAGGAAAACGGATTGCCTGAGTCCATGAGTTCGACACCCGCCTGGGCAATTTGGTGAGACCTTGTCTTTACAATAAATAAAAAATTAGCCAGGCGTGGTAGTGCACACCCGTAGTTCTTGCTACTTGGAAGTCTGAGGTGGAAGGATTGCCAGAACCCAGCAAATCAATGCTGGGGTAGCCGTGAGCCTGCCACTGCACTCCAGCCTGGGCAACAGAGTGAGACTCCAACTCAAAAGAAAAAAAAAAAGAATTTGACTGGGAACAGTGTCTAATGCTTGTAATCCCAGCACTTTGGGAGGCTGAAGTGTGAGCCCAGGAGTTTGAGACCAACCTGGGCAATACAGCGAAACCTCCTCTCTATAAAATAAAACTAAAAAAAATTAACCAGGCATAGTGGCATGTGCCTATAGTCTCAGCTATTCGGAAGGCTGAGACTGGAGGATTGCCTGAGCCCAGGAGCTTGAGGCTGCAGTGAGCCTTGATGGTGCCCCTACATTCCAGCCTGGACAACAGGGTGAGATCCTAACTAAAAATAAATAAAGAGTGAATTTTGTGAAATGCAACTTATATCTTATTTTCTCAACATGAATGGAGATCTCTCAGAGAGAAAGCAGAAAGAGACAGAGAGGGCTTTTTTGTTGTTGTTGTTGTTGGAGTTCCACTCTGTTGTCCATGCTGGAGTGCAGTGGCACACTCATGGCCACCGCAGCCTCGACCTGCTGGGCGCAGGCGATCCTTCCACCTCAGCCTTCCAAGTAGCTGGAACCACAGGCGTGCACCACCACTACCAGATAATTTTTTGATTTATTGTAGAGACGAGGTCTCACCACCCTGCCCAGGCTGGTCTTGAACTCCTGGGCTCGGGCAATCCTCTCACCTCTGCCTTCCAAAGTGCTGGGATTACAGACCTGAGCCACCGCACCTGGCTTCAGAGGGGACATTTCAAGCCCTCTTTCACCCCATACTTCCCTGCCATAATCCAGAACAGCCAGTTGGGAGGCTGGTGGTTGGAGTCATCAGAAGATTATTAGCCAGGAGGTGGGTGCAGGGATTCAAGGAATTAGAAGATAGAATGGGGCCCTGGGGTGGAGAAAAGAGATGAGAGTGATTTGGAGGTTTGGTGGCCAGGTCTGGGAACTTTGGAGGGACACTCCTTGCCCCCAGACACACACAGGGTCTCAGGTCCACCCCCTCCTTCTCCTGCCTCTCTGCTCCCAGTTGTTTGTGAGCTGCCCCTGAGGTCGACCGGGAGCGACCTTCAGCCTGTCCCTGAGATGGGCAAACATTGCAAGCATCGAACAGCAAACACACAGCCCTGGCTGCACGCAGACCTTGGAGCTGGGGCAGAGGTCAGAGACCCCGCCCCACCCCAGGCCCAGTCCCCGCTGTTATGGTCCGAGTAATGCTCAACTGCTCCCCTTGATACCAGTAAATCAAAGGGGCAGGGAACTGGTAGAAAGAAGTTTATTTCTGAGTTCGAATCCAGGGAGCAGAGCCAGACTC